ATGATGATAATGAGCTTATACCTACAAGGGTGATCACTGGATGGAGGGTGTGCATTGATTACCGAAAGTTGAACGCTTGCACAAGAAAAGACCACTTCCCATTACCATTCCTCGATCAAGTTCTAGAACGAGCAGGAGGGCATCTATTCTACTACTTTTTAGATGGATACTCTGGCTACAATCAGATCGAGATTGCTTTGGAGGATCAAGAGAAGACCACTTTTACGTGCCCCTATGGTACCTTTGCCTACCGTCGCATGTTATTTGGACTATGCAATGCTCCGGGGACGTTTCAACGCTGTATGATGGGGATTTTCAGTGACATGGTGGAAAAGATAGTGAAGGTCTTTATGGAAGACTTTTCAGTGTTTGGGGATTCATTCAAGGGATGTTTGGCAAACTTGGAGAGAGTTCTAACAAGACGTAAGGAGAAGAATCTAGTCTTGAATTGGGAAAAGTTTCACTTTATGGTGACACAAGGAATTGTTCTTAGCCATATAGTTTCGGCAAGGGGTATTGAAGTCGATAAATCCAAGGTGGAGGCCATCTCCAACCTCCCCACACTAGGAGCCATCAAGGGCATCTAGTCATTTTTAGGCCATGCAGGTTTTTATCGTCGATTCATAAAAAATTTCAGTGCATTAGCCCGACCCTTGACCAACCTGCTGTCTAAAGAGGTCCCATTTGAGTGGTCAGATGATTGTGAGGCATCCTTTAAAAAACTTAAAAGCATGCTATTCACACCTTTGATCATGCAACTACCCAATTAGGATTCACCTTCTGAGCTCATATGCGACGCGAGTGATTACGCGGTCAGCGCAGTGCTCGGTCAGAGGTAGAAAAATAGACCATATGTGGTACATTATGCTAGCAAAGCACTTAGTGAGGCTCAGATGAATTACACTACCACTGAGAAAAAGTTGCTAGCAGTAGTGTTTGCCTTAGATAAATTATGTTCTTACATCATTAGTTCACCTATTATTGTCTTTACTGATCACTCTGCTTTGAAGTATTTGTTGTCTAAGCAGGATGTAAAACCGAGACTCATTAGGTGGATACTCCTCCTACAAGAATTTAACTTGACGATCAAGAACAAGAAAGGAGTTGAGAACGTGGTAGCGGATCATTTATCCCGGCTTGTGGTACAAGAGGCCGATGAGCACATTCCTATCCCTGACTTTTTTCAATGCAAGCATTTGCTTTCAATTCATTCTATATGTCCTTGGTATGATGATATATGTAACTATCTTGCAACAAGACAGATACCACCATAATGGAGCCCAAAAGATCGAAGACAATTTATGGCGGATGCGAAGTACTTCTACTTCGATAACCCATATTTATACAAGTACTGCCCCGACCAAATCATGAGAAGATGCGTACCTGAAAATGAACAGCGGGACGTCCTTGCATTTTGCCATTCACAAGCTTGCGGTGGACATTTCTCAGCGAAAAAGACTTTGGCCAAAATTCTTCAATCAGGTTTTTACTGGCCCTCTCTTATCAAAGATTGTGTTTCATTTTGTAAGGGATGCGACAGATGCCAACGGTTGGGTAGTGTGACCCAAAGAAATATGATGCCTCTTTCACCAATACTTGTCATAGAAATATTTGACTATTGGGGCATCAACTTCATGGGTTCTTTCCCTATGTCATTTAGTTATTTGTACATCCTCCTAGTATTGGACTATGTGTCCAAATGGGTGGAGGCTGTCCCGACCAAGACTAATGACCACCGGGTCGTAGTCAAGTTTCTCAAAGAGAACATTTTTTTGAGATTTGGGATGCCTCATGCAATAATAAGTGATGGTGGATCACATTTCTGTAATAGGTCATTTGCATCTCTACTGTTCAAATATGGTGTCACTCACAAAGTATCCACTGTCTATCACCCACAAACAAATGACCAAGCTGAGCTAGCCAATAGGGAGATCAAGAACATTCTAGAAAAAATGGTTAATCCAAACAGGAAGGATTGGTTCGATAGATTGACTGATGCCCTCTAGGCATACCACACTGCTTTTAAAACTGTTTTAGGCATGTCTCCCTACCGGCTTGTCTATGGAAATGCTTGCCACCTACCAGTCGAAATGGAACACAAGGCCTATTGGGCCATTAAGACTTTAAATTTTAATTTGAGAATGGCTGGTGATCATAGAAAATTAGAGTTGAATGAGTTAGAAGAGATTCGACGAGATGCGTATGAGAGCTCCAAAATCTCAAAAGAACGGGCCAAAATATTTCATGATAACTCCATCTTGAGGAAATCATTTGAGCCCGGGCAAAAAGTGCTTTTATATAATTCTTGCCTCTCAATTTTTCAGGGCAAACTTCAATCCCGTTGGGATGGCCCCTATCTCGTAAAGGTGGCCTATCCCAATGGAGCTGTTAAAATCTCAAATCCTGAGAATGGCCAAGCATTCAAGGTCAATGACCAACGACTTAAGCCATTCTTTGAGGATTTTGCTAGGAAAGAAATGGAGGAAGAACTGATCGACCACGTCTATCCGGACTTGGGGGAGGAGTAACTAGTGGTTATGCTTTCTAGTGTACAGTTGCTTTTGTTTCCGTATGTTGTTTTTATCTCATGTCACTTACTTTCTCTGGTTGTATAGTATTGTTTTTCTTCATTTCAGATCTTGGTGTTTTTGTCAAAAGCTCATTTGTGAGGTGTTCTCTAACCCTACTCATTTTTTTCCCGTCCTTCATTGCATATCGTATCTTTTTGTTGCATTGAGGACAATGTATGATTCAAGTTGGGGGTGAGGTGCACCATTTGCATGATACATTAATGTTGTTGGGAAAAAATTTTGTGGTACAGATTTTTGCTTGCATTAGTTACATTAGTGAAAAATATGTGAAAATTTTGAAAATTTTTTATGGAAAATATCTAATAGTTGATCTGTATTCCCTTATGAAGAGTGTGTGGATTGGATGACAAATTTATCTTTGTTGTGAACTTTGAGCACATGAGCATACCATGGAAGCTGACCCTGTGCATGAGTATCACATATGTATTGATTTTTGAACTCAACTGTTGTGACCTTTGAATGTGTAATTTCAGCAATTTATGGATTGGATTCATGGTTTAGGCTTGACATAAGTAGTGCAGATGAGTAAGAACCCATGTGAGCTTTAATACCAATCCTTGTTTGGAGGGAACTTACATTTACTCAAAGAACATTTTTTCAATGTCATTTGTTCAATAGTCTCATCATACTTGTTTTGGTTAGGTGCATCTGGATAGTAGACTGACTTGTTTCGATTATACAATGCCATCCCATGCATACCTGGAAGTGATTTTAGGCCATCTTTGAAATACTTTGAGCCTTAACCCTTTTTCTTGTGCAAAGATTATCCCTAGTGCCATGATTGAGCCCAATTTAAATTTGTTTCTATGCCACACATTTGACCAAGCCAATGAAAATAAGAAATATCTACCTTACCTTGGTTGTTCCTTGAAGTTAAATATAAGTGATTGCAAAAGTAAGGGAAGGGTGGTGTGGAAACTCAAACAAAGGGATGAATGATGTTGCAACTCAAAGAGTTCAATGGAAAAGAATGAAACTCCAAGAAAAGGAAGAAAATGGGTGAGCAGAAGAAAAGAGTGAACAAAAGAAAAGCAAAATGTCAAGGAAAGGAAAGAAAAGAAACAAAGAGTGTGGTGATGGTGTTAGCCTAGAAATCCCATAAAAGGGAGAATTCTTTTTAAAATAAAGGTCATTCACTCGGAACAACTCTCTTTATCATCCTATATCCTTCATTTCACTTACCTCATTACCACCCCAAGGCCTCATTACAACCTTTGAAAGTCCTAAATGCTCTAGAGAAAGTATGGGGGAAACATACTTTTAAATAACAAGAGAAGTTGGTTTAGCTATCTAATGCCCTAGCATTCCTTTTATGAGATTATGCCAAGGTTATTTTATTTTTCATATATGAACTTCATTTTTGGATTACATGTGAGTACACTTTGTTTTGAACGCAAGATTCTATCTCACATGTACACATGGAGTGCATACCAGGAGAACTAGAGTGCATTTCATTGTTTAAGAGTGACCTCCGGTGAGTTTTGCATTGAAACTAAATTTGGCAGGCTATTCGAATGTGAATTCTGTTGCGTAAATGCTCTAATTACTTGTTAAATTCACACACACACGAGTTTGAAAATTAATGGGTAGGTGCATACTTTAGACTAGTATTTGAGACCATGTTTTTGCTCAGGTGTGCTTAGTTCAATCATCTGAGAAATGTGTTAAATAGCTCCATGCATATAGAATAGGAGAATATTGCTCAAGTTTTTGATATTTGAAAAGGCTTAGGAATACCTGTGTTGTTTGTATCCGTGTTTACATGTTGGGTATTCATTTTGGTAGTTTAGGTTGAAACCCCTGCTTCATGCGTAATAATATCAAAATCTTAAATCATGTTGCAATTGTGGAAATGACTTTGGGCATGATTAAAATTGTGGTCCATAAATGTGGTTCAAGTTTTTGGTAGGTAAGATAACCTTGAAAATGTGCTAAAAGGTTTTGGAATGGAGAAAGGATGGATTGGATGTGAATTTTTGAACAAAGAAATAGTTTTGTAGCAAAGGTAAAACCTTCCGGAAGGTTTTTGTCCATCTTACGGAAGGTTTTCCCCAGAAACCTCAAAATGAGGGTTTTAAATTAGATCTTTTTTAAAAAAAAACTCTTCATTTTTCCCCCAAATCATATCAGCCCAAACCCCATCCTCTCCTCCTACTCTCTTCTAACCTTCAATTTAGTTCCTCCAAACCCTAATATACCTACCTTCTATTGATTAGGGGGTGAGATCTAGTGGGATTTAACCGAGTTCTCTTCATAAACCCTAGTTCCTAACCCTTACTCATAACTCTCAGTTGTCCTTTAATCCCTCTAAATTCGCTCTACTCAAGCGATGGCTTAGTTAAATGGAATGACTATGGGAATATGGGAGCCTTTTGAGAGTCTGTGGTGGTGGTGCATGATGGTTCTTAGTCTTGGGGCACTATTGTACCTTATGGCCCGAACAAAGAATACAGGGCCCGTGTTTCCACCCCCTGGCTCTACTTCTCCGAAAAGGACCGGAGAAGGTCCTAGCTCCCAGGATAGGGAGGAGCGGAGGACAAAGGCAAGACATGATGCTGAAAGGTAGAGGATTGAAGAAAATGGGATGACATGTGAGAGGTATGTCGACAAGATCACTCTTGGACCTTCGAATGAGGTGGTGAGAATCATTGAAGAACAGGGATTGAATTGTTGGTTTGATGAAGTCACGGGGTACAACCTGGGATGTGTCGTGAATTTTATCAGAAGTTGGTTGTTTTTGGTGATAATGGGGGTAAACTAAGGACAAATGTGAGTGGGAAGACATTCGAGGTTACCCCTACTTCAATTGCCATGGTAATGGGGTATGCGAGGCATCCTACATCCACCCCAGTCTACCCACACAATGTGGAAGAGAATAGGTACCTCCAGGATTATGTAAACCTCACTTATGGGGACCGACTACGTTCACGGGAACGACGTTGGTCGAAAGCCTCAAGCATGCATATGGAATCATGAATAAGGTGCTGCATTATAATTTAATGTCTCGGGGTTCAGAGAAGAAACCAAACGAGGAGAAGTTGGCTTTACTACACGCATGCTTGATTGGGGTTACCATTGATGTGGCTTATTTCATTTGGTTAGAAATGAGGGAGTTTGCTCGGACTACAAAGCCAAAGGCAAATCTTCCCTTTGGTAGCCTTGTCACTAAGTTGTGTGACCAAGCCAATGTGAAGCATTATGCTCATGACACATCCTTTACCCCAGAGACCGGAGCCATAGGGAAGTCCAGTAGTTTGAAGAGGGCTTCTAGGATTGGGGGTGAGGGAGCTGGGGCACAAAGGGCACAACCATCTAATGCAGGAACATCATATGCAGTACCCCTACTGCCTATACCTACCCTAGCTCACACAATGTTGCAGCACATGGATGCTTTGGAGTCAACAGTGCACGGGATTTTAGAGATGATGCTGTAACTTTTCCAGCATACTTTCCCAGGAAGGCCTGTCCCCGAAGGACCACCAACCCCACAACCTCCGGCTAGACCTTCAGCTTCTATTCCCATACCCTCAGTGACTATTGAAATGGATGGCGAGGACGAGGCAGAGACCAAGTCTGTGACTGAGAATGAGGATGCTTTTGATGAGGAGGAGGACTGAGACTTTTGGGTTGTGGTGAACGATGATCATACGCAGTTAGGGTTTCTTTTGGTGTCGGCCTGTAGAGGTGCCTCTAGATGTTTGTCGTCTTTTGCTTGGGGTTTTGAACACATTGTAAAGAAATTTTTGAAAGTAATTAATGAAATACCACAATTGATTATTTATCGTTGCTCAAAGTTATTCCCTTAATTGCAATATGATTTTTGGATTTCGAATTGTTGTGATTTTTTCTTGTTGTGCTATTTGGTTGTATGGATGAATGGTTATGTACTTCTTGCTTGTGGTTGGAAATAATATTTGCTAGGGACTAGCAAAGCTCAAGTTAGGGGGTGTGATTAGCATAAAACCATGACATATAGTGCACTAGTATGCCTCTTGTACTTGCTTTTGTCATGAAATTGGGGAGAATTGGGTTTAACTTGCGTTTTGATGGAATCTTGTTGAATGCAGGTAAAACAATGTAAATGGCATGAGTTAAACTGCCATTGAAGTGGGTGAGGTCAATGATGAGGAAGAGGTAGCTTAAAGGAAGGTTTGGAGGGTTAACAGACCAAGAAAAACCAAGAAAATTCAAGTTGGTCAAAAACCTTCCGGAAGGTTTTGTCTACTGGAATGAACCTTCCGAAAGGTTTTGTCCGTTGGAGTGAAACCTTCCGAAATGTTTTGTCTACTGGAATGAACATTCCGGAAGGTTTTGTCCACTAGAGTGAAACCTTCCGGAAGGTTTTGTCTGCTGGAATGAACCTTCCGAAAGGTTTTGCCTGCTGATCCCTCCATTTAACTTTTCCTGCACAAACCTTCTGGAAGGTTTATGTCGACCTTCCGAAAGGTTTTTGCTAGATTCCCCAGACAGCCTGTAACTTAACTCGGCAGATTGGGGGTCCCACTTACACGACTCCATCAAGTCTCCTGACATTCCTTACATGTCGAAGAGGCCTCCCTCACCCCTACTTGGTCTTGATGATGCTTGGGTATTAATGAGGAAGAGAGAGAAGAAGCTTGGAAGAGAGAAGAGTGGAGACAAGTCCTAGTCTACACCATGCAGTCCCTATGGATGGAAATCACATCACTCAGCTAAGGGAGGGGACTATGGACGTTTTTGGGGGAAAATGACTTTATTATGCAGCATTCCATACACTACATAGAGATATAGAGAAAGAGAGTCAGGAGAAGATGATGAATAGTATTCTAGAGAGATAAATTGAGATTTTTACATTTTCTTCAATACATTGTCTTGTAATCTCCTGTAAGAATCTTTAGAGCTTCGTTAAATGCCATTTATGCTAGTTCCTACAAGTTCATTGCAAGTTTAACTCCCTTTTAAAGCTTTCACCATTAATGCATTTATGTTCTTCATTCCTTCCTAGTTGTAAAATGGGTATTCATAGCTTTCACTTATAGCTTATGTTTGCTTGCATTTAGTTACTCAAGAACTTCATTTCTTTGCAATGCATTCTCATTTCATTGTTAATTTTATCCCAAGCGTGAGTAGCTTAATCCTTTAGTTGGCAAAACCAAGGGGAACCTCCACTTGGAGATGCCATTTCAACTCATTCTCCTCCCTTCTTTAAGAGTTCAATGGCTCGGTTTGACTGGGTTGAGGGTGAATAAGTTGGTGAGTCTTTGATATTTCATAGGCCTAGTCACGGTTTATGCTTAGATACTCACATATCTTATCCCTAACTTCCCACGAATCAATCAAACATTTATACTCTATTGGAGGAGGGATTCAAGTTGAGATGGTATCCCTATTGGAGTGACCTCTTGGATTAGCCAACATTTGTTTCTCATTTCATTTCCACCAAAACACACTTCACCAAACAACTTTCAACAACAAAATATTTTACACTTTTTTTCACCAAAAAATCACCTTTCCTTTGGTTCACATCCTTCCCAGTGGAAACGACCTTGGAATACCTTCAAGTAAAATACGATCCACAAAAATCTCCTTGCGCTTGGGGAGCATTTTTGTTCATACACATAACAAATTTCCACCATCCCACTTTCCCATCTCCTTGCCCTTTCTTTTGACACTTCTTAAAGGGAGAGTGACATTCCCCTCCATCCATATAAAATGCATTTTGAGGGATGATATTTAGGGGTTAGGGATAACAAGGAAATTAACCAAGCACCTCCTTAGGATGATGATCGCCTTGAGTTGCTCACATTTCTCTTTTATGGGTTCGGATGACTCAATCACATGTTGGCCTCTAGGGTTCTCTTGGGGTTGAGCGGAGAATCTTTCCTTCTCTTGTTGGGACGACCTTGTGGCATTGGTCAATTTTGTGATTTAAGTCTAAATGTCATTGAAAGCGATGGCATTTTGATTGTTGATGGCAGTTTGGCTTTGTATGAATTGGTGCACCACATCCTCTAAGTTCCTCTTATAAGGTGGTTGGTGGGCGGGAGCATTGGATGATCCTTGTTGACCAAAACTTTGTGGAGGTGGGTTTTGTGAAAACCCTTGTGAAGGAGGGTTTTGTGAATACCCTTGTTGATTGGACGGGGGGTACTGGGAGCTAGACAATTGACCTTGGTCATGGTATTGATTTTACTTAGGAGGCATGGGGCTAAATTAAGCTTAGCTAAGTCAAGTTGTAATTAGCTAAGTCAATATCTCTTTTATTCAAGTTATAATTAAGCTTAGCTAAGTTTCTTGTGGTTCATTTCTACATTTAGGTCCTATTTCCATTAAGCTTTACATTTTGCAAATGAATAGATTTTCTTTTGTAGTTTAAACCTTCTTTTACATTAATACAAGTCTATGTTTGATTTCACTACTATGTTTCTCTACTTTGTGTTTGCTCTTGCCTTTTCCATGCATAGTTAAACCTTTAGTTGGCTAAGCCAATAGGGATTTCCTCTTGGGTATGTGAAATCAACTCTATTTCATTATTCCTCGTAGTGTAAAGTGTTTGGTTTCACTAGGTTGAGTGCCGATGTGGTTATGGGTTTTGATAAAATGTAAACTTGTCAAAGGGTATGCTCTTGCCCAACACAACTCCATTAGTCCTTCACTTCCTATGAATCAATCAAACACCAAGACACCATTGGTTGAATAAAATGAGTCGATTTGGCATTCACATTGGAATAACCTCTATGGATTAGCCAATCTTACTTTATTGCATATTTCTTGACTCACAACTCACCAAATCTCAAATGACAAGATTTTCCAATTTTTAATTTTTTTCATAAATCACTCTTCAAAACACTCAACATTGCCTTCCCTGAGGAGACGACCTTGGTATACCCATTCTAAGTAAAACACGACATTGTGAGTCTATCTATGCTTGGGGAACACACTTACACACATATATTTTTGTTCATCCACACACAATTTCTCCACTTCTTGCATTGAACTCAAAGGAGAGTGACACTCACCATACATTATAAGTTATATGCACAAACAATCAAGTTCATGTTGGAGGTCAAGGAAAAGAATCAAGTATTGAGCAACCAGTGGGTTGAATCTTGCTTCCTACCAATAGGTTCATGTACTGTCTGAAAAAATAAATGGGTTTTTACCAGTCCAAAACCATTTCATTCCTTAAAACCACAAGAACCTATCTTTGCCAAACCCCCTCTTAGGTTCCGAAAATCCTAAACACAGCTTCCCAATCCCTCAAATCCTTTGATTTCTTCTTAGATTCTTGTTTTAATCTTGAATTTCAAAATGGAACCAAGGAAAATGGCGGCCTCAAACTCTTCTAATGAAACTTCTTGGGCCACTCTCTTTGTTGCCTGGGTTCTCTTTGCCTCCATCACCACCATGGTAGTGGTGAGAGACAAGGACATTGGGTGGCCAACGGTCAGCCCAGGCTAAGGCCATGGCATCGAACAAGGCACAAGTATTGGATAGTAGAGATTTGGCAAGGGCCAAGGGGAAAAGGCCAATGGTGGTTGATTTAGCAAGTGAGGAAGAGGATGATGTGCTTCCTGTGCCGAAGAA